GAAACGTTCATGCAAGTGCAGGAAAACGAAAAAAGTGACCGCGCCAGGAGTCGATCCAGGAGTCCCATTTCCAAGTCGTTCAACTGAAGTAATTGAGGCTTGCATAACTTCGGTATGCTTCAAATTGGCAAGCCGGTCGAATGCCTGTCGAGAATTAAGTGGATCGGTATCTCTTGCGTTCGTTGAATCCGACGTTCTTTCTGAGCACGTTCATTATCGTGAGGGCAATGATAAAGGTGGTAAAACCTTCGTACCTTCCCACTAAGGTGTGCAAGAAGGCATAGCCATCTCTAGGCGGCCGTAGGCCGCCTTTAGTGCGATTGGCTGTTAGCGGCTGAAAAAAAACGACCCTGGTGTTGGCAGACCCTCTTTGTGGTGCTGGCTGACCCACTATACAAATATATTGCTCTCAACTGATCTGTATATACAATCTCACGGGTAGCGTCTAGGGAAAATGAGATGTCCAAATTTTCAACGCTTCCAGATCTATATCATTCGATTTTGTGGACTCCCTTGTATAAGAAAATGCCTATATGTATGTTTTTCAACGACAAAAAGAAAACGTCTTTGAAACGCAGAAAGTAGTGTGGTTGGCAGGCATTGCTTTGCTAACTCACTACTGTTCGTAGCTGCCCCTCTCTCCCCCTTCCCAATGTTAGTTCGATACAAGGATACTATGAGACTTTATGCTCTGATCCAACATTAGAACGGGGGTAGGGGGGACGACCCGTCATCAGTTTTGATTTTGCCTGGTGTGAGATTCGCACAAAAGCGCGCGCCCGATGATGTACATGCTCATACTCATTTGAGGGTTACAAATTCGTATTATGTTAACAACATAATAGATGGTTAACCCTGCCCTGTTCTAGTCGTTGAGTACAATAGTGTACTCTACTAGCAACAACGCTCACCCGATCTCTCCCCGGCTGTCAACAGTCCCTGTATGAGCTTCACCTGCTTCACATAAGGTGATAAAACCACAACATCCTCGTTCGCCAGACTATGGCATGGCACCGTTGTGATGAGCTACTTGATAACCTGATCATTCACAAACACACAGTGTTGGAGGAATATGTGTTCGATATTCTATCTATATAAAATTTCATGGTTTTGCTTTTTCGAATAATCTAATGGTAATTATAGCTGTTATTAATATCACCTCACATAGAGTTGTTATGATATGATGAGCTCAGGGATCTCCCCAGCAAATGGAAAAAAGTTTACACACGAATCAGGGTAGAAGTATACAGAAACCAACAATGATAATTTTCCAAAATTTTCTCAGAATTTTCACCGACACATACAGTTGATTCTGTGCAGACTTTTCTGGACTTCAACCATATTATTATGATTCAAAGATTGCTACTCTAAAATCGATGCAAGACGCAACTTGCGACGTACTTGAGCTTCCGTCCTGCTATAAACTCTGCCTTCTTCCTTATCATCAAACCCTTCCTCCCCAGATTGTCGGCAACCGCCAACGTCCACCATCACCACTGGCTGGTCAGGGCTCCATAACTCCTCTATCCAGGGACCAGCTAGGGCGGTTGTGAACACACGCTGAAGAGAAGAAAAAGGTAACAACAACAACAATAAAGAGTTTCCTCACTAACTATAAGACTTCACATACCAATTCAGGTAAAACTGTGCGGAAACCAATAACTAGAATTATTCGTTCGTGGCCCTGCTAACTCACTGCTGTAGGTACCCCAGTGGCTTCGCCAGCTCGTGACGTCCAAGTACAGCTTGAACTCGTCCATGAATATCTTCAGGGATTCCTTGTCCGTCGCAGCTGGTAAGTCTGGGTTATCTGATTTGAGTTAATTAGCAATTCCGAAGCGACTTCTCTATTTTTCTGTCTTTCACCGCTACTTAATGTCGGATCGATTATGGTCCATAATTTTCTTCAGAAAGAAAATTGGCTATTATACTGTGTTCATCTGGGGCTTAACGTTTCATCAATGTCATTTATATATCAAAATTCATCAGTATATATCATGTCTCTGCAATTTGACTTTCAGTTGGTTACACACAATATATTTAGAATTTACGACGGTTTTGTGTTTCTCTTGTCGTAATTATATAGTATACATTTAAATTCACAAATAGACCATGTTCAACCTGGATTCCTTTTTTTCCATTATGTACATTGAATTTTTTTCCACAGAAATTGTGTTTCTATTGAATTAGCTAGATAGTGTGAATCGAAATTCATAGATATCCAATTTTTATACAGAATTTCAAGTCTTACGGGTCTATGTATTAAGGTTTACGGATATTTCTCATCTCTGCAACCCAACGTTGAGTTGACTATATATTTAGTGAAATAGATTTCTCATAATCTTTGTGTTCGTTTTGATTTTCTTTCTCTATTATGTAAAAAAGTTGGTAAATATATGTGTGAATGTGAGTTGACTTTTCTTCTTTTGCGCTCAATATTACTTGATATTATTCATTATATATATGCAAGTCTATGAGAACCTCCAATTTTATTTTAGCTGAGAGAATTTTCAATAGTAAAGTCTATTACAATATTTAAAGTTTTTACGCATTCAATTTCTTGTCGACCCCGCGAATTTCCACACCGATCGTGGTTTACCTTCGTCAGGTGTCCACTTCTGCACAAATGAATCTCGTAGCCTTATCCAGTCTTGTCTGCTCCAAGCTGCTCCCATGAGGTCCAGATCGCGGTTTACCGCTCTCCATACATTGAGTGGTAATCGGGCTGTTGCCTTCGCCTTCCTGGCTCGCTGCTTGCCATGGTAATGACAGCTTATTATCCTCGCATTGCCCCAGACCTCCTTAACAGCGTTGTGTAGCGCATCTGAGCCGTCCATGACCACCTCCTCAGGTACAGCGCCCACGATGTTCGGGGCTTCGGCTGCCTGGGTCAGCTTGCGAAGTGCAAAGGACACTGACAACGCGGACTCGCTCTTCAAAAGTACAATTCCCACCGGTTTGGCTATCTCGCCGTAAGGTAGGGCGCAGATAACCAAGATGGTCATGTCGCCGTATATTATGTTGTAGGTACCATCAAGCCCAATAGTTTTGCAGTTTTCCCAATGGCTCAGCATCCGGGCACTTGTGAAGACCGCGGCGAAATGATGTAGTTCCATCTTACCGGTTTCTGTGGGTAGCTTTTCACATAAGACGTCGTCGAGCAATATGCACTTCTCAGCTTCCCGAACTCTCTCGAGGTCACTGCTAGTCTGGAGCGATGTACCGAGTCTCCCGAGGCTCTCGATCACTGAGGAGAAGCTTGCTGACAGCTGGGAGGGACTATACCGTAGGCTCTCGATCTGCCTCACGAACATGTCAACGCTCAGGCCAGCCTTCCCGTTTTCCACCAACGACCTATAGGCTCCCTGAACCTTGCTGAACTTCCGCAGGCCCTTTTCGGCAATGAACTGGATAGTTGAGGGATGATACTGAGCTGTCAGGTAACGCTCAGCTGATATGTCACGGAGTTCTTTAAGAGTAGAGTCAGGGCGATGATGCAGGACTTCTGCCCAGTGATCACAAATGTCTGGTGGTACATAGGAGCTTCTACAGGTATCAGTCCCGTATGGGTGTTGGTGATCGCGCCAGTCTTGAAGTGTTGCAGGTACCGTTCGCAAAGGGTAGAAGTAACATCGACCATCCACCATCTTCACACAGACCTCTCTGTATTGGCAGACATGTTCAGGCCACAGGCGCCAGTCAGGGCGGGCACGCTGAGTTGGCAGCTTCCCTGCGGTTCTGGTAGAAGCAGTTCGCTTACATTCCAGGACGCATTGTCTTCTTCCG